GTCTGTCGCATGAGGATGAAGTCGAGGCGGTGCTTCTCCTTCCCCTTGTTGGAGCTCTGAAACGTATGCTGCACTCCTCCTTTCGGTGTGTAGGGGCCGGGTTTTTGTGCCGNACCTGTCCGTCGGAAGCATTTGGATGGAGACCGCACGGAATCTTCCTATGCTTAAACTCGAACTCAAATAAATGCAAAAACATTAAAATCGATGTCGACTTTTGCGAACAGCGCACGTGGCGGGCTATTGGGTGTGTAGGGGCCGGGTTTTTGTGCCGATTTGACACATCGAGGACCACGCCTTGGCATCTTGGCATGTGGAGGACACCCACCACTCACGCGCGAGCGGCAGTAAGCAGAGGAGACGATGTCACAGCCTGGGGCAAACGGTGACGGGCGGTACGACTTGGGGCCGAACACTNTCGCAGCCATGAGCGGCGGCTGGCAGGAGCGCGAGCCATTCTTTTGGGATGCGGCGCGACGCTGCGGACGTCGTGTCACGGAACTGGCGGGCTGTTCGCCGCTTGAAGTGGGCGCTTCACCGTGTTTCTCAATTTCGATTTTGATTTTGGTGGTTTCTCGATAAGACACCGCGGGCGAATTCGGGCGACTCTTCAGGACTTAAACTGATTTTTGATTTCGATTTCTGATCTTGATTCTGTCGATAAGACACATCCTGAGCGTTTCTAAGCGAAAGAAAAAAACGTTTTTTTTTTTTTTTCCAGCTGGGGAGAGGGTATGTCGGTCAGTTGCGGATGGCGCCTAACAAGCCCTTGGAGAGTTGTTGGAAAAAAAGGAACAAGGCTTCAGGTAAGGCTGGGACTACCCCTATACTATTTCTTGTCAAGTGAAAAAAAAAACGGCATCATGTTAAAGGACAGGAACAGGCAAAAGATGGTGACCCTCCCTCCCCCACGGTTGGTTGTTTATTTGGGTGTCCGTTGTTGCGGCAGGGAGCGCTTCACAAGGGGTATCCGACCGAAACTCCAGAAATGGTGCAAGCAAGCCCGGTCGTTGCTCTCGTATTCAAAAACGACCCCCCAACACAGGTACTGTACCGAGACAAAATAGCTGTGTAGTAGCTCCTGGCCCCCAGGAACATGAACAACGTCGCATGCTTCCCTCCCCCTACCCCCTCCCAAATCGAGGATACCTTTAAATGTTGTGCTTTTTTCGTTTCGGGGAGGGAATATAACGATGCTGATGAATACGGCGTGTTTTTCTCTTCCTTTCTTCTGTTTCCGTACTGCGTCCCCAAACTGAAATAAAAACACCGAACAACCTGCCAGTACTATTTAGCATGTAGGCGTTAGGTCAACGTGAAACGCCGTGATATGCATAGAAACCTAGGTAAACGCTTAGCCACATGTCCAGAGCTAATGTGAGAAACAACAACAACAAATGTCCTGCACGAGCAGCGGAATCGCTCGTGCGAGTGGCTACCAGAAAAGGTCGGGACACTACAAGGGATACCAACCACTCCCGCATCATAAACACAATATGGGCATCGGGGAGGTTTGCTTCAGCCCACGAGCCCCCCGACTTGCAGCCGCCACGGCCCAGCTCGACGACAAACGATCAACATCGGCTGCGATGGCGCTCGATTCTACAGGAAAGGCGCAGTTGCATCGTACGCCCGTTTCCAAACCCTGTAGCTCTTACCGATATCCGCGCTGGGGGGCTCGCGTGCCCGCCCCCCCCTCCCCGACGGAACACAACGGTATCGCATGAGCAAAACTACTAACCCTAAACCTAACCCTAGTCGTCTTCCTCCCCACAAGACCAAAACAAATAAGGTACGCTGCTGCTGCTGCTGCTGCTGCTGCTGCTGCTGCCGCGCCGTCACGAGTGCTATTCATCCCGCACAAAAAAAAAAAATGCAACACTGCCTGTGTGGGCCAAAAACAATACTCTATGGCGGGCTTGACCTATCGCCCCCGCCGCTTTCGTTGTCAATACTACCGCTGCTACCATCTTGGTCTTCAACGGTCGACTCCTCCGCAGCCCAAGCGCGCTGCGCCTGCCACAGCCCGAAGTACCTGCCACCTGTATCTGCCATGAGCTATTGCGCCGCGGCACAGTACACGAAACACATACGAGAAATGCGACGGGCGCGAAAAAGAAAATCAAGCAGTCAGTATTGTAGTTGCGTCTGGAAATTGTGAGCCGTGGTGTACCAAGTCTAAGCGACGTTGACAAGATAGAGCATTAGCGCGGGATTTGCGTTGACAAGACAGGGAGCGACTTGCACAAAACCGCCTTGGAATGAACATTGCGACTCACAAGCACCCCCATGACCTAATCATCTCGCAGGCCACAAAGCCCCCCCCGCGTCGATTCACAATCATCGATCGCCCCACAACACACAACAACCATCGATCGATCACATCGAACCCGCCACCACACGTCACAACATCACACCCAAAAAAAAACACACACACACAGAAAAAACTCGTGACACTCGCCAACACACAGTGCCCCATCCCATGGCACGGTCATCACCGAAACGACGCCTCTCACACGCATCATCGACACCACATACAACAACCGCGGCTTCTGCTGTAGATATGCATACCTCGGCGTGGTTCCCCTCCTCCACCACCTTCCCGTGGTCCAGCACGATGATCTTGTCCGCGTCCTTCACGGTCGAAAGCCGGTGCGCGATGATGATGCTCGTGCGGTTGCGGCCCAGAGTCTTGAGGTGGCCCATGATTTCCGTCTCCGTCTGCGGTGGTTTTGGTACAGCGCAAAGCCCATCGGATATGAAATCAATGTGGGAGGGGGGGGGGCGGGGCAGGGAGGGGGGCGAGGAAGTGAGCGCTACGCGAGAGCCCTCAGTTGTTAGGTGGACACTTGCGCGTTTCCATCGTCTCCTGATTCGTAAATGTACGCAACAGCGCACACGCATGCACACGTTGGGGGGAAAGACGAGGGCGCTACGGGGCATCCGGGGGGGGGTGGCCTTAAGCTCAAACTGAATCGTGCTGTGAGGAGCATTGAGAAGAAGAACCACGCACGTCTTGCTCCCGCATCTCTTTCTATCGTTCGATGCCAAGCAGCTAAAGTAGAGGATGCCAGAAAGCGCCTGCTGTACGACGGCTATCATATTTGCCTGCCTAACTCTGCCCGTCCTTTTCGCAAATCGCGAACTTCTACACCCACCCACACCACCTGTCTTTGGCCGGGACAAACTTCGAGACAGGAAAACATAAATCTCAGCTCTGCGGCAACAAGTAATGGCACACCTCCACTACCACCACCACCGCTGCGCAGTGGTAGTTGCAAAATTCTGCCGTGCCCTATGTGAGAGCGAAAAGGAAGACTGGTGGAAGCTAGCGGGCAAGAGTCGACACACCATGATAAGGTCGAGTAGTCTGCAACCAATCACCTTGGTGTCGAGAGACGAGGTAGGCTCATCACAGAGGAGGATGGGGGCGTTCTTGAGCATGGCGCGCGCGATTGCCACGCGCTGCTTCTCTCCGCCCGAGATCATTAGGCCGCGCTCACCGACAACGGTGCCGTAGCCCTTGAGGGGGCGACAAAGAAAGAGAACGTGAGCTGCGTCAAAAGAGAAGAAAATAGGGGAAAGTATGAGGTTTGAGCAGGCAGGAAGCACACCTCAAACAACGTCAAGCACATGCCTCCAGGGTATGGCGGCGTACCGCTGTCGGGTGTGCTGGCGATGGGCGTGTCGGGCGGCACCGTCCTGGATGTAAGGACAGGGCACCAACGGTAGGTATTAGCTGTGACCGACAAGACGATGAAATTCGGCAACAACCATACAACACACAACACCACTAAACAGACGCGAAAAACAAACACACAAAACGCTTACGGCCGCCCGTGAGATGCATTCTCTCTCCACAAACGCACCTGCGGCATGCTGGCGATGGAAGAGTCGAGCTGCGCCTTTCTCGCGGCCTCCTCCACCTCCTCCGTCCCGGCGCACAGGTCGCCGTACGCGATGTTATACCCGATCGTGTCGTTGAACAGCACGGTGTCCTGCGGAACCACTCCCACCGCCCGCCGAAGGCTTGCTTGGGACACCTCCTTGATGTCTTGCCCGGCGATCTTAATGCTGTTGTGTTTGTTCGGCCGGGGGGAGGGGGGGGGGGGGAGTCATGTTTTGCATGCCTTCGCCACCCGTGTTGCAAGTCCCACAAAAAGCAAAAAAAACTGTGACAAAAAGGGGCTCCGCGAAAATCGATGGTACCCCGCGCAAGCCCCCATGATCGGTTGCCCAGCGCACCATCTGGTGCACACCTTTGTCACTGCTGGTGCTCCTCACACAGATGGCTACGTGCCATTAAACTTGCAGCATACCTCAAGCATGTTGTGTTCTACACGCGCAGACATTTGGTTTGGCCTGGTTTCGCTCTGAACCTGGCACATGTCGTGCTGTCAAAAGTGAAAGAGCTGCTGCTTCAAGCCCGTTCGCAGCTCTCAGCACCAAACTTCACGCTGCTACCCGCGGGCAAAGGAGTTGACGATTTCGCTCGAAACTTCGCCAGAGTGTATTACATAGGCATAGGTAGCGTTGGGGGGTTGGCCAAATTTTGGATTGCCACCACGAGGGTCGTTCCAGTGAACCACTCTATCGCCTCTATGTCGACCAATCACGGCCGACGCGTCTACCTCCAATTTTGTTGGAAATCTCCGGCATGTTCCCCACAATTTGACCTTCAACGCTCTATCCGCGCTCAAAAAATGATCCCGTCCATTTTTTTTTTTCGGCACCACGCTGTGGAGACATGCCTAAGGTTGCTTTAGAAGGTTAGCCACTTTTTGGATCGCCACTACAGCCGGAGTTGTTGCCGAATAACGGCCTGTCCCAGAGGATTTCGGCGGCTGAGGGGGCTCCGCGTGATCGATGCCTTGTCGTGATAAAATAAAAGAACGTTTTTTGTGGGGACTTGCAACGCGGGTGTAGCTGTTAGACCATTGACCACGCGTCCGCTAGAGGAAGGGGTGAGCGGGGGGCGGCATGAGAGTATTTCCGGTGGCGAGAGGGGAAGCACACACTCGTGGCCTGCCCTGGTCATTCACCATTGGTTGGGAGTCACACCCTATAAAGACGGAGGACCGGTTATGGGGCGCAGACCAGGCCGTTGGGAAAGCGACGAAAGTCCCCCCGGCCATGGATCTGCAGACGGAGGGAGGTGCCGGGTCTGTGTCTCTGCCGCTCCCAATGGCAGGGCCCCGCCTCCCTTGCATCATCTTGCGTTTACTCAGTGAGGACCAACCAAGTGAAAGACAATGAAGCCTGAGAGCGCAGTATCGCTGAGTTGATAACGTGCCGCAAGTACGATTGCTAATGTTGGAGAACGTGCAGCCTTTGCTTTTACAAGGAGCCAAACGGAATCAGTTACCGCTGTTGTAGCGCGTGGTGTGAAGTTGAGAGAAGTACGAGCATCTGTGGGTCAGTTGTAGTAATCGCCGCATGACAGCACCGCACTAATAACTGGCCGACCCTAAACCACCTGTAACACATGCTGGGTCATCAACCCGAACCAAAATGCCATCCTCTGGAGAGGCCAATGCGGAAAAAAGAAAGCAGCGGGTAGCAGGTGCATGCTAGAAAAAAAATCACAACAAACGTGGTGCTTCATCGCATGCATGGCATTCAATCACGAACGCCACGCCACGCGAGCAACAGACGAAAAACTGACAACAAGACAGTACGTGGTATGCATACACGAGCTATCTTCGAATACCGAGAATGGGCTAATGCTGTTGTATCGTTACCTCCCGGAGTCGACGTCAAAGAAGCGGTAGAGGAGGCGTATGATGGTTGACTTGCCGCAGCCGCTGTGCCCCACGATGGCCACAGTCTGGCCGGCAGGAACCTGCATAGTCGACGAAAACAAGAGGGCGTTCGTTGGCAACGACGGACAGACGAACGGGTCAACAACAGGCCCAGAGCGTTCCAACAAGAGCGTTGCAACATGCTCCACCCATAAGCTTCCGTGTTGACTGCGGGGGGAATAGGGCAGCGTTTGGGACACGGAATCGCCCCAAAACTTCTAGAGTCATACCACCACTCACAAAAACAAACAGCAGCAGAGATATCAACGACAACAGCAAGATCGACAGTAACAAGCACCACTCATACACGACAACGACGACAATGATTGAAAAATAACGTCGACAATCTCGATGGCAACCGACAGACAATCAACACCTCGTGTCAACAACACAACACTTACATCTTAACATAACAAATTTGACAATTAACAACAAGGCAACAACATGCAACAAATCACGACATGTACTACACGAACTCGTGTTCGCTTGCCTCGAACGTGAGTCCCTTGAGGATCTCACGGTCGGGCCCGTAGCCGAAGCGAACGTCTGTGAAAGAGATGCCCCCGACGTCGGCGTTGACCAGCTCCGCCGCGTCTTCCCGGTCGGTCACCTTGAAAAAAAAAAAAAAGTGGGAACGAACAGGTACAAAACAGCCGGGGTGAGACTCACAACAGCCAGCTTATCGCACCATCTTTCGGCGCTAGGAAGTACGGGGACAGAGTAAAGAGAGACATTTAGTTTGATGTTTTTTTTCTGGGCGTTACGTAGTCAGTCGTTCCCATCGCTTCTTTTTCCCTGTCAGGTGCGCCTGCCAACCAGGGTGTGGGCGTGAGTCGGGTTTTGCCGATTCCGAGCCGTCGTCAAAATGGTGGCGTCTTTATTCGAAAGAAAGAAGCGACGTGCCGACGTGACCATTAAGTTTAGTCAAATACATATTCAAATGTGTGAAGATATTACCCGCGATGTTTGATCAAAGTCAATCAACGGTCTTCTTGTATTAAAAAAAATAACCACTTTTGGGTTTCTTGGGGGAGCGAGCGACACGTGTTTGCATTGAGGAAGGACGAGGTGGGTAGAGGGGAAGAGGTGGCATCGCGGCCATCTGTGAATTTTATACCGCTTGTAGCGAACATCGACGGAATCAAACAGAGGCAAGCCTTGAGGTGCAGCAATCATTAGTGTTGTAAATGCTGGGGTCGCGTACATGAACACGTGAAATCTGCATGGTGTAGCACAGAAAATTGGCACATCGTGCTCGATAACACTAAATAGTAACAAACGCGCGGCCAACGGCTGAAACCTGAAGTCTTCGTTCGTTCTGTCGCTCCTCGGCAGGCGAAATTCTACCGTCGGAAACAACAACACGATTACTAGACGTGATTACGTCATGCTCCCTGCACGTGTGCTTTCTTGTTCTTTCATTTTTTTTTGTCTTACGGGCTCTCGTCCTTGTTCCCAACTTGCTGTCGTTTCCCGAGCTCTTTCTGTCGGCCGGCCTGCTCATGCCTCCGGAAAACGACTGCGTTAGTAACTATTTTCATGTTTTCCACCGTGGGTATGCTTGAGGTGGCGTTCTAGCTCACTTCGCTCCGTGGGGGGCATTTCTTGTACACTAGAGTGGTCCCTGGAAGGCTGGATAGTGTCAAGGGATTTGGGCCGGCACACTTGAACTTTCTACCCGTGCCACACGACCGGCATCACTCTATGCGGCCTTGCACTAGCGATCAACCACTATTCACCGCAGTTTCTTTCGGGGGGGGGAGGNGGGGGGGGGGGGGGGGGGGGGGGGGGGGGGGGGGGGGGGGGGGGGGGGGGGGGGGGGGGGGGCGTGCGCGGTAACTTTAGCCTTCTGACCTTGCGAAGGGTTCTCTCTACTCGTGGCAAGTTTCTGTACCTGGGGGACCGTGTCGGATATCTTGAACATGGCCGTCATATCGATCAACGCCTGCCGGACCTCGCGGTACGTGCTCCCGACGAAGCCCAGGGGGATAGCCAGCTGGAAGAGGAGGCCGTTCACCAGGACAAGGTCGCCCACCGTGGAGTGACCGGCCGCTGAGAATGCAGAACAATAAGAAAGGGTAACAACAGATACAACCGGTACAACCGGGACCAAAAACACATTGAGGTTTTGAGAAAAAAAACAATACAAATGTAACACGACTTCCCCGTCCAAGCCAACATCACCCTCTCGAAAACGCTTTTCCCATTGACGTGTTTACACGTTGGTTCTCTCCGAAGAGCTGTCATCGCCGCTGTTTCGTGACAATGATAGGAAGGTTGTGTGCATCACATCCCTCGCCCGTTCTGTCTCACCCATTGTCATGGACGGATCAGGCCCAAAAAAAAACTCTCGTCCCTCCCTCCCTCCCTCCCTCCCTCCCTCCCTCCCCTCCTCCCTCCCTCTTCATTACGCGGGGCTCCCTTGGGGGGAGCAGGTGGTGATCCTTGGCGACACGTGCGATGCGGCGAGCATCGTACCTCTTGCCATGGGGGCCGACGTTGTGGTCCACGAGGCCACCAACACCATGCTACCCCCGCTTGACCAGGTGCGGATCCCCCCCCCCGTCGGTGTTTGTGCGGTATTTCCGCCGCCTCTGGCGCTGGCACGGTGTTGCTACAGAGAGGTAGANCCCCCCTTTCTCGCACTCATGTTTCCTGACGTGCGCCAGCAAAACCTTGGGCCGAAAAAGATACAAACGACAAAAAAGACACAAACGGCTACGCATGTTGCCCTCTATCCCCCCCCCCTCCCAGCCTTTCTCCCTCTTGTTTCACCTATGTCGGAGGCGGCCAGGGCCATGATGGCCGTGAGACCGGTGCTGAAGATCACGTGCTGGCCCACGTTGAGCATGCTGAGCGAGGTCTGCGTCTTGACGGATGCCTCCTGGAAACCCTTAAGGGACTCGTCGTAGCGGGACGCCTCGTGGGCCTCGTTGTTGAAGTACTTGACGGTTTCATAATTCACTAGGGAGTCGGTTACCTTGTTTTCAGAACAAGACGGGTACGTTCAAAGGTCCGGGGGGTAAAGAAAGTAACGTTTATACCATCATGGCCGTGCACATGGAGCGCGCACTTTTCCGTGCGAGCCCTCCAATTCCGTGCGAACGAGGCGGGACCGAGCACGCCAGGGTTTCGCCGACCAAGATAGGCAAGGACGATGGGGGCGCCGTGAGGTGTGTTGGGGGATGAGCTATGCATACACCTCTGCAAACCGTTCTCGCGTGGGCTTGGCTGTGTCTGATGAATCGGTGGACACATAGACAGAAAGAGCATAATCAAGGCTATGGCACATGTGTGCGGGAAGCAGATACGCGCACTGCGTATGGCGATATCTTAGGCAAGTGGCGCCGGTCGACTAACACTACCGATCAAATCCACAGGAACGACCTCGTCCGTCAAGCCTTGAGCGATGACCATCGGACACCGGCGGTCCTACATGAAATAGGGTCAATCCCAACCAATGAGACCCCTGAAAAGTACACTAGCGCCATGTTTGTATTGTTTTGCTTTCCCGCAAAAACAAACGTCCTTGGGGCTTACAGGCGACGGGTGCGCATTCCACCACAATAAGGCTATAGAGTGACTCTTGCGTGCCTTGCGAATTCCCCCCCTCACCGACACCCAGCAAACGGTGTGAGGCCTACACAGCCACACACGAACGGCATGTAGAATCGTGATGTGTAGCAAGAGGGCGCCTTTTCCGCCGCGTGGGACGAACAACAGCAGGACGGGGTCCTTTGCAATCAATTTAACAACTTGGCTATTGCACATCCCCCGTTCCCTTTTTTCGGAAAGCCTCTTGGGAGACTCTCGAGAGACCGACCCAAAAGGCCGCCATACCAGATTAGTCGAGACCAACTGACTTACCTTTGCGCTAGCCTCGTTCTCCTGGGCTATCATCTGCTTCCGGAACTTGGTCCTCCACTGCGTGATGCCGAAGGTGTAGGCGGAGTACGTCACGATGGTAGAGCAGCAGACGGCCGAGTACTTCCAGGAGGCCTGGCTCGCTAGGATGCCCGAAACCAAGCCTGTCACAAGCGACGGGGATGATGATTGTTGTAGTACTTGTGGTGGTGTTGGGCCTACGGTTCCAATTACTGTGGTCAGAAACATGTGACACGGTTCTCTAAGACGCCTGGCGCCACAACGCACAGTGCCACGCGCTGTTGCTGCTGTTGTATCATCGTCATGGTCATGTGGCGTCATCACCGCGACAAAAAAATGGCAGATGGGAGTGTCGCTGACGACCAATAACAAATAGCCACGTACCGGCAGCAGGTCCTCTCACGTGTCATAGAACACAACGGCAACGGTTTGTGCCGTAGTAGCGCGGTTTGCTGCCTGCCCACAAGTGTGTGCCTCTTCCACATGAAATCGTAGACGCGTTTGGCGTTCTTCGACAGTACACAGACGAGTGGGTATCTCTCTCTCAACCTACCGGCCGTGCGTAACTATCACACGAGAGCCTTGGGAACCAAAAAAATGGGGTGTTGCATACATGGTGTCGTACCCAGATCGGTCCTCGAAACATACAATTTTCAAACTCAAGCCCCCTGCGGCTAGTAGAGTGTGCAGGGAAGCATTGTTGCGGACGAACTCACCAATCTCGACGATTGTCGGGAGCACGTTGAACAGCATCGCAGACAACGTGTACTGGATGGACCGACCTGGAGCAATCAACGGAGCGAAAAATAAACAAAGTCCACGAAAACAACATATTGGAGGAGTCTTGAGACGTTTCGAAGCGACAAAGAAGGGGACACGCCGACCAAACTAACCGACAGGCGGTCCTGAAAAAAAAAAATAAAAGAGCGCCAGAAAAACATAGTAAAAATGTACTCCTAAACAACAAGGCGAGTATTTCAGATGGATCCTTCCAAAGGGGGGAGGAGTATGAAATGGAGTTTTATTGGAGTTGTAGAAGTGGGCATTGATATTATACGGCGAACAGGATGTCTGCGTGCTTATAGGAGAGGGGGTCTGCATATAAGACAGCTGCTCGCAGGACAGTCCTATTGCGCCCGATCACGTTCAAGCATCAGCAGTGCGAGGAGGAGCACAGGGATCGCTAGGCGTACGACAGCACTGCCAGCTGCTACCTGGTAGGACATTGTGTTTCCGGGAGCTAGTGTCGTCGTTTTTCGATTTTACCAGGAGATTTTTGCCGATTGGCGCACGGAGGCAGGCAGGGATGCACGGGGCGTATGAGTGGGAGAACGAACGGCGACAGCGGTACGGGCAGGGAAAACGCCCAAAGCAACTCCACGGTCCTGCGGTGCTACTGCCGCTACTTCTACTGCGGTGCTGGCGGCGGCGTCCGTCCTTCTGGCTCACAAAAAAACATAATAGAGCGACCGGAGGGGCGTTAGAAAAAAACAAGGCCGACTTGAGCCGGAGTCCAGCTCAGCTCATTTCAGTTTCAGAGCGGCTCCACTCTGCTCTGCTCTACTCTGTTCTCTCACCACCGCGGTCAATGATCCTGCTAACGGTGCCAGTGTTCTTCTCGAGGTGGTACTGCAAGCCCAGGTCGTGCAGGTGCTCGAAAACGTCTCGACCCACTCGTCGGATCGCTCGCTGGGCAACCACCGCGAACACGACGTTCCTCAACT